GGCTGATAGAGTCAGAGGAGCGGTTTCTAAAAGGACCCAGGTGACACCACAGAAGCTCTCTAAAGTGTTATCAAAACATCATCATCTATTTCCTTTTTAGCTTATTATGGGCATCTTGCCCTCTGGTAACCTTGCTTTCTCTTTCAGCAAAGCATAGCAGGCAAGCTGCTTTTTCCAAAGCCATTCCTTGGCTGTGCACATAAAATTATTTTCATTTTCTTGCTGTGTTCCTTCTGTCTGTCTGTCTGTCCGTCTGTCTCCATTTATTTATTTCTTCTAGGCTCCTTTCTACAGAAAGGCCTTGAAAGCAGCTTGCAAAATACAAAACAGAGAGAAATCAAAGATTAACGTAATAGAAGGATATATGCCTACAAAAATAACTAGTACAGAGAAGAAAAGGAACAAAAGCAAAATAAAACACTGAAGAAGCAAAATGAGACCATTTGGAACCATAGACCTGACAATACAAAACAGTTTTTTTACAGGACACTAGAATGTCAGTCTACCCTTGGGACATGTAAGGATAGCCTCACCCCAAACCTGCTGAGATTTTGAGAACGAGCCTGTTAAGTTGTGGGTGAAATATCACACGACACAGCGATTCTTCAAACAGCTCTTGTTTATTCACAGGCCAAAACAGAACTGAGCTGAAGGGCTCAGTCAGCCTGCTTATATAGAGCTCCAGTACAACGTACCTGTAGCAATTTTCTAAAACTATCCAATCACTGAACGTCACTTTCGATCCCCTATTTGCATAACTATCTACAGTATCCCCCTGCTGGCCCAGGGTAAGAACTTCAGTACATAACAGAGCCAGAGCCAGAAAGTGGAAAAGAAAAAAAGGGAAGGTAACACCTGAAGAGTTTGAAGTGACAAACATAAGAACAAAAACTTTATGTAGCGCTTATGCTTTCGTTGCACTTTTAAGTCATTGCAAAAGGTCTTGGGGTTGTTTGGGTGATTCTTCTATTGTCTTCTCTCAGACTGTTTTATTCCTTTAATGAGCAATATGCAAATTCAGCTGGGCAAAGGAGATCTGAGCGACTGTATATATTTCAAAGGCCAGAACTTCAGTTCTGAGGTGATTAGCGTGTTCAGTGAAGTTTATCAGTATTGGCCTGAGGCCCAGGAATCCCAGACTGACCTCACATTGGCAAGTTCCTGCCAGCTGGCTGAACTGCCCTTTAAGATAAACATCACCGCTGAAATCCAGGTTTGTTAAATAAAGCCAGCTAATTAAGTACGTAAAAGGAAAAGGTGCTAGGAATTCAGGAATTTGGGGGATAGACATATGAACATAAGAATAGCCCTGCTGAGTCTGGCCAGTGGGCCATTTAGTCCAGGATCCTACTCTCAAAGCGGCCAACCAGATGCGTATGGGAAACCTGCAATCAGGGGCAGAGCAGTGGATATTCAGAGGCATGGCATAACCATCGTTGCTAGTAGCACTGATAGATTTATCCTCCATAAATCTCTTTTAAAGCATCCGAGTTGGTGGCCATTGCTGCCACTTGTGGGAATGAATTTCATAGTTTAACTATGTGCTTTCCTTTGACCGTCCTCGATCTTTGAACATTCATTCTGCCGGTGTTTCTGAGAACCTGCATATACAGGATAATCACTTTGGTGAAAAACACATGTGCTTAATACAGGAGACATGATACAAGCTTCCACATTAATCTAATTTGAAGACCAAAGCAGAATGCAAAAAAAACAAAAACCTTTAGCCATTAAACAGAACATTCAGCAGTCGAGAAAGGAATGGACTCTTCACAGCCGTGCTTCAGGAGTGTCCTTTATCTGTTGTGGGTTTTTTAAGGGTCAGTCGCTTATTGGCAGATTTGTTACCAGTTTCCACAACTCCTTGTGTTTCAGATGTTCAGGAGTGAGCACCGATGTTCATGTAGCCAAAACGGCAGCACCCATGCAGAAGAAGGGAAGTATCAGCAGGCTTGGGGAAACCCAATATATGCAAAGTACAAATAAATATAGCAGGGAATATTTCCTAGGGAGGGAAAGCCCCCAAATTAGCCCAATGAGAAATGAGTGTGCTCAGTTGCGAATAGTAAAGAGAACCCACACAGGTGACGCTGACACAAAACCCCACACATACACTAAGTAGAACAGAAGCATTGCCACCCGACCCCACCCCACTCACCATTCCCCCCTCCACCTCTTGCCCCCTTTTCTTCCTAACGTAACACTAATGTCTCACAACAAATGAAACTGATCTGTAGAAAAACATAACTTGAAGAAAGAGGGATTGCACATAGTTTTGTAAACCAATAAATCTTTCATAAAAATATATATTTAAAAAAAGAAGACAGAAAGAAAGAAAAGAAAGCTGGCTGACTGGAGGGGCCATGGGAAACAGAAAACCCAGGGCAGGGGAAATGGAATGGAGCAGCTGTAATCCTGTACACTGCAACATTTTGTTGCAGATCCCACTTGGAAATTAGCTGATACTTGGTATTGAAGAAGGTTAAGAAGTTAACTTGATGGTCCAAAGTTATTTACTGGAAGAGGAAACTATTTCTAGATTGTGCATTTATATGTATAATATGATTTTCTCGCCCACAGACCCATAATTTATTATAGCTGTAGGATTATTAAGGCTTTGCTTTAGAAGAGCTGAGCATTGTGTTTAAGTAGGTTAACTCATAATGGGAATGGCTGCAGCTCAGTGGGCAGAGCCAGGAGCGTAGCCAGGATTTTTGTTGGGGGGCAGAACCTGTTTGCTATGCATTTTTATTTATTTTTATTTTATTTTTATTGATTGGGGGGAAGATGCCCCGCCGGGCTATGCCCATGTTTCCACACGAATTTGAAGATCTAAAACAGCATCTTTTACAAAAATATTTGTTTCTTTGTTTTGTTTCTGGACATGTAATCCTTTTGTTGGTGTTTTATTTTGGCATTCCTTCTTCCGATATGTGGCGAAACAGCAGAATGCATGTTCAACTGGGTGAGAAATCCTGCCAAGGAATTTGTGACATCACTGACATTGAATAATGAGGCTATAAATAGGCATGCTGACAACAAGTGAACAGCTGCTCTTGTTTCCCCCCTTTTTCCTTGCATGAACTTGTGGCACCTTTTCAAACTTCAGCAGTATTTGAGGTTTGGCAGGAGGCGGGGAGCAGGAGAAATGCCCAGATGTTCACAGTGAATGAAACACAAACACAAACAGCCTTTTCTCCCTGGCTGGAAATATGAGCGATTAGCAGGAAAAAAGTTTGATATGAAGCTTTCCTTCTAGTCTTGTTCCCGTATCTATAGATCTCCATGAATGAAAGTACAGACATTCCAGCATCTTAAAATGCAAGTCCTTCCATTGTAATCATTTCCAGGTGAGGCAGCTGTGTTAGTCTCTTCCAGCAAAAGCAACCAAGACTATAGAGGCCCTTTAAAGACACATACTTTTATTATGGCATAATTTGTTAATCTACAAGGTGTCACAAGACTCTTAGCTGCTGTTGTTTACAATGAAGGGTTCTCCATTATGCTGTGCTATCCATCTGATGCCTTGGGCTGGTCCTTTTGCATTCCTTGAAGCCTGGCAGACCTCTTCTGAGAGAGCTCTGGGAGGAGGACTTGTTGTTGTTTAGTTGTTTAGTTGTTTAGTTGTTTAGTTGTTACTGACTCTTCGTGAGCCCATGGACCAGAGCATGCCAGGCACCCCTGTCTTCCACTGCCTCCCGCAGTTTGGTCAAACTCATGCTGGTAGCTTCGAGAACACTGTCCAACCATCTTGTCCTCTGTCATCCCCTTCTCCTTGTGCCCTCCATCTTTCCCAACATCAGGGTCTTTTCCAGGAAGTCTTCTCTTCTCATGAGGTGGCCAAAGTATTGGAGCCTCAGCTTCACGATCTGTCCTTCCAGTGAGCACTCAGGGCTGATTTCCTTAAGAATGGATTGGTTTGAGGAGGAGGCCTAGGAGTGTCAAAAAAGTGCCTGATTGTGCCAAGGAGCCATCAGAATGAGCAGGTCCTACTGTTCCGCAGCCTGATGACATGCCTGCCTATTCAGAAGCAAGTCCCACTGAAGGAGTAATACATACCCTCCAACATTTCTCTGGTGAAAATATTGGCATGCCAACATTTCGCTGATGAAAATAGGGATGTGATATAATGTAATATAAGAAAAGCCCTTCTGGATCAGACCAAAGGCCTTCTCTCTTCCGTCATCCTGGCTCCCACAGTGTCAAACCAGATCCCTATGGGAAGTCCACAAACAGGACACGAGCGCAGCAATTGATATTCAGAGCAATGCTGCCTCTGATGCTGGAGGCAGGAAATAGCATATCGAGCAGCTATTTATAGCCTTATTCTCAGCGAATTGGATTAACCTTTCAAAAGCCACCTAAGTGGGTGGCCACCGCCACATACTGAGGCTGCACATTCTAAAGTTTTGACTACGCTTCTCTGCGAATTAAGTACTTCCTTTCCGGCTGAGTTGAATCTCCCTGCTAGTCAGCTTCATTGGATGATCCTGGGTTCTAATATTATGAGAGAAGAAAAGGGGCGCTCTCTCTCTCTATCCACTTTCTCCACGTCATGCATGTCAGCTCCAGACAGTTCAGTTTTGCCTACACTGACTGGCAGCAGCTCTCTAGGATTTTGAACAGAGGTTTTTCTCAGTTCTGTTTGGGGATGCTGGGGCTTAAACCTGGAACCTTTAACATGCCAAAGGTGTGCTCTGCCACTGCCCTCCATCCCCTTCAATGTAACCCATCCCCTGGCACCGTATTTTTTGCTCTATAAGACGCACCCGACCATAAGACGCACCTAGTTTTTAGAGGAGGAAAACAAGAAAAGCCATCTATCTTTAAAGATAGAGCGGCTCTTGCTGGCTTTTCTGGGAGGTGGTAGAAGGGACTGACAGGCTGCCCTCCATCCCTTCTCCCACCTCCCTGAAAAGCCAGAGCAAGCTGTGCAGCTATCGCTGAAGCTAGCAGAGCAAGAGCAATAGCTGCGCAGCAGCTCTTCAGCTCTTGCTCTGCTGGCTTCCCAGCGAAGCAGGATGAGGGACGGAAGGGATTCCCTTCCATTCCTCCTCCCACTTTGCTGGGAAGCCAACGGAACAAGAGGCGCTGCGCAGCTCTCCCTCTTGCTCTGCTGGCTTCAGCGATAGCTGCGCAGCCTGCATTCGCTCCATAAGACGCACACACATTTCCCCTTTTTAGGAGGAAAAAAGTGTGTCTTATGGAGCGAAAAATACGGTATGTGTATATTGGATTGCAACCTTAATAGGGTTTTCATGCGTAGAGTGCCAGGCCCCAAAACTACTACCCCTAGATGATTGTTTTAATACAAGTGGATTTCAGCTTGTAGCACATGATTATGAGAATGTCTGTTTCATATTGTAGAGTTTGAAAATTAACAACATGCATGATATAATTTATAAACTTTTGCAAGCAAATTCTTGGGAATAATGGCTGGTTTTGATTGTTGAATTAAAAGATGAACAGGGTTTTTTCAAGGACCTGACTCAAAAAATATGCTTATGTATGAAGCAGCAACACGTTAAAATAATAAGCATGTTTAGATTTTCTATTCTGTCCTTCTTTGAACCATTAAACATCTAAAAGGTAAAGACTACAACTCATTTTTGCCAAAATTGCTATTTTTCCAACCCTCAAAATATTTTTCCCCTCCCAAAGTCATTAAATTAAATTAATTAGTCTTTTACAGCAAGGGCTAAGCAATAATGAATGGTGTCTTGCAGCTTCTTAAATGCTGGTGGCCTAAATAAAAAAAACAAAGGAATTTTAACCAGCTAATGAGAATAGGACAAACTGCAGCTCAACTTGCTTACAAGAATCTGAAACTGACGTTAGGGTTTTTCTTATTTAGAGTTTCATACAAAAATGGATATTTAAGGTAGATCTCAGGAAAGGTGCTAGCAGACTGCTATGTATTGCAGTTTGTAATTGCCAATCTGGTAAGTTATATGGCTTATAAAATGTTTTTTAAAAATCAACTGCACTGTGGGTTGGCAGGGACACTGTATCCAGATTGATTGATTGATTGATTGATAAATAAATACATCTAGTGATACAACCTACGTGAACTGGAAAGTCTATCCTATTTAAGAAAGGGTCTTGGCTGCTGGCCAAGGAGAGTCATAAGTCCCAGATCTTCCTGTCCTCCCTGTTTCTGTGTTATGACATAGGAAGTCCCTTGCAGCCCTTTGCCATGGTCCTTGCCCTTAGTCTGATGCTTGTGGAAATTAGGAGTCAGTGTGCTCTGTTGCTTTCTCATACCATGCAGAACTTAGTACAGTGGTACCTCGGGTTACATACGCTTCAGGTTACATACGCTTCAGGTTACAGACTCTGCTAACCCAGAAATATTGCTTCAGGTTAAGAACTTTGCTTCAGGATGAGAACAGAAATTGTGCTCCGGCGGCGCGGCAGCAACAGGAGGCCCCATTAGCTAAAGTGGTGCTTCAGGTTAAGAACAGTTTCAGGTTAAGAACGGACCTCCGGAATGAATTAAGTACTTAACCCGAGGTACCACTGTACATTGTTAATACAACCTGTTTCACCAGTGCTCTTGCAGCCTTTTTAGATTATAGGTGACAACGGATTGGTTCAAATGTATTATTAAGCCAAAGCATGCCTGAAATTTGCATCCACACACTCTATCTTCACACTGTCCCTCCTTTCTTGGTATACCACAACTGAAGACTCACTGGGTTTATTAACCATAGTTTTCTGTTACATCTGAATGAGAAAAACATGGTTACCAGGATCAGAACAAACCAGGATCTTAAACCATGGTTTTAAGTTGATCATTAAGTTTGGATGTAATGAGAAGCTAAGGTTAATTAACCCAGGATGTCCTCAGTCACAGCATGCTGAAGAATGAGGATTACAGATGGGGCTGTTCAAGGATGAACAAGGATGTGTGGACATAAGGCCCTAAATATCTTGGTCTAAGAAGCTTAGATATGTAGATCAAGAAGAGGGCCAATATGCTATTCGTATAGCAGCTCCTATGACCAGGCCACCAAATACATGCAAAAGGGAATAGTGTACTTAGCTAAGAAGATAGATGAATGTTAAAATAAGAAATACTCCTAAAATGACTAGAAATACAAAGTCAGAATACAAATAAGTAAGAATAACAGAAATGAGAACCTGAGGCCATGGGCATAACCCTGCATGTTAGTACCAAGTTAATGCATTTGATACACTTGTGAATTTTGAGTGTCATGGCTATATCAATGCTAAGTATGATTATTATGGTGATTAATATATATATCAAAGGAGCATTTCACCAATGCTGCCTTAACCTTCAGTCCAACAGTTTGATTGGTGAATGCACATCTTCAAACCCTCACTCTGACATATAAGTGTTCAAAGCAAAAAATCTCCTTTTGTAAAATAAAAAAAGCCTATTCTGTAGAAAGTGTTGTCTAGTGAGATTTCTGACCAAGGGAGTTGCTGCACTCCACCAGATTCTCATAGCCCAGAGATGTGTGGATTCACTACAGACAGGCCACTCCAGCTTCTCCTCTGCTCATCATTTAGCTCTATCTGAATGTACAGCTGTCATTTCATTTGGCCTGGATGGATTGCCTGTGTCACAAGCAGTTTGTGGACTGTGCAGTCTTTATGGAAATCTTGCACCAATGTTGTATGGTGACTCACCTCGACCTCTAATCTGCGGCAGGGGTCTGCCCTTCACTACTGAGCCTGTCTGCATGCAGCAATAATTGCTTTTCTCTTTTTACTTGGTTGTTAGCAATAAGGTATGAGCAAAGCAGCATTACTTTTAGGATGCTATTTAGGATGCTATCAGAGCCATCGCACCCATAAGGCAGGGTGAAGTACCCGCCTCAGGTGGCAGAAGCAAAAGAGGCTGTGCCCCACCTGCCCCACCACTGCTGCTGCCAGAACGCCCTTCTATCGCTGAGTTTTGGTGACGGGGAGATGTTGCGGTGTACAGCATTGCTGATCATCTTCCCCACCATGAAGCAGGGAAAACAAGTGGCAATGTCTCACAGAACACCAAGCTCTCACCAAGTTAGGCAAGAGCTGGGACATTCCAGTGATGGCGGAAGGTGGGGTGGCAGGGAGGGCAGGAGGCAGCACATTCTGATTTTGCCTCAGGTGGCAAAGCAGGATGAGCCACCCCAGGATGCTACTGTGCATGCAAACTGGTTATGCCATTGCCTTTTGGCTTCATTGAGCTCCTGTGGTTTTCTTCCAGTTTTCTTTCCATCCAGTTCTAGCTGCTGGTTGGAGCTTTTTCCTCAGTCCTGTTATGTTGCAATAAAGTCAGGTTCTGTACTGCTTTCTCCCTGAGAAAGGTGCAATCTTACACACACAGGGTGCCTCCAGACTGTCAGTAATTTTTGCGAAGGGTTGAAGTGCACACTGAAACTGGATTAAAGTGTTCTGTCACCTTGCTCGGCTAATTCACTGTTTTAAAAAAGTTTGCAGTTTGGAAAGGGAAAGGGAAACACACTGAAAAGTGTGGGATGAACAAATGATTAACAGGAAGACATGTAAACACTCTGCAAACAAATCAGAATAAATACAGGATGAATGCTTGACGTATAACAGCCCCAAACAGGACAAATGCCCAATTAAGATTGGATATAGTTTATCCACCATGCATGCTTTATGCAAGCAGATCAGATGAATGCAGAATAAACAAGTCATCTGTAGGATCCCAAGCAGGCAGATGCTGAACTCCTGGGTTTCTCCTTCGGTGAGTGTATTATATTGGAATTCAGCAACTCTCCTCCTCCTCCTTCGTTTGAATTGTGTCTCTATGTCATTATTACAGAGATTACCAAATGAATCTTTTTTGCTTTTATACACACTGGGCATTCGCTGTGGGCAATCAGCTCTAATAGTTGTCATTAAGTTTGTGGTGAGGTGGGAGAAGATGTATTGACCCCATGCACTTCAGCACGGCACACAGCCCACTGATGGCTGCTGAGTAATGATTTTTTTTCCTAATTGGTGGAGAGCAGCGGCCCTAATGGATAGAGCCTCTCTGTGCATTTTCACTGTCTCTTCGATCAATAAGCCTAGCTGTGCCTGGCACAGAGGAGTTCCTGAAAGCCCCTTTGTAATAATGGATTGCTGGAGGTTACATAAACCTCTGTCTCCTACTGAGTCAGCCCTCTGTCAGGATCCTGGCACTCTGACAATGGCTTTTTAGAAGGTCAGGTGCGGGATGCCAACAAAGCCGACTGGCCTCTGTTTGGCTGCCCAGTCCTGGAGCCAAAAGGAATTTGCATGCCACAGGCCCTCGGAAGCCCTGTGGCGTCAATGGAGGAATGTGACATTTTAACCAGTGGCTGGAAATTCTGATTTGTTGCTGGATGGGATAGCATCAAGCTTCCCTCTTATCTCCCCTCCTTGGCCCCCTCCCCAAATCAAGAACAATCCTGCACTGATGAGTATTTCAAATCACATTATTTCTTACTGAGATCAGCCAGCGTTCATTTTTCAGAAGCCCACGTTTGTATGGGGATGACCCACTAAGGCACTTAACATCTGCACTCTGGCATTTGCTCTGACTTCCCGTTGTCTTTAGGTCACAATTCAAGGTGTTGACATATAAATCCCTGCGGAGTTTGGGTCCTGCTTATGTTTAAAAAGTGATACCCTTCCAATTCCTCATTGTAATCACTTAGATCTGCCCAAAATGCAGCGTTAAGCATTTTACTGGTGTGCCAATTTCAGAGAGCAACAGCACATTAGGGAGGTATTGACAGTGATTGCAGCATACCATAGCCTATAGCTCTGAGGCAATCTTTACCCTTGGGAACTTGCAAATGTCCGAGCTCAATCTTCCTTCAGACATTAACTAGGCCTCTCTAGTTTGGCTATTTTTTTATCATCAGAAGGTTGTTGTTGTTGTTGTTTTCAGGCAGTGAGTTTTTAGTATATTATTTTAAAATCCTTTTTTTAAAAAATGTCTGTTTATTTATTTTTACACTGTGCCTTGCCTGCCCTACGATGAGGCAGGCTTAAGTTCCAAATAAATGAATATTGTTCACTAAGGTTCACATGCACAAAGGCCTAAGGCTTTGTTTACAAAATAAAGCAAAA